ACACACACACACACACACACACACACACACATATATATATATATATATATATATATATATATATATATATATATATGTGTGTGTGTGTGTGTGTGTGTGTGTGTGTGTGTATTATATATTGCTATTAATTATTTAACTGCTATTAAAATAAATGATCAATTAGTCCTCTCTTCATACAATTTATTATGTTAAATTAAATAGTCAAGCTCGTAGCCAAGGGGATTCAGGTGGTTTAAAAGACCAAAAGTTGGATTATTATTATTATGTTTGAATTTATCTTATTATTCAAATGGCAAAATTCTCACTGAGTAAGGTTGAATGCACTGGCCAGTTTTTTATTGTTAAGTTTTAACAGATTTCCCAAAGAAAATTATGATAAAAAAAAACTCTTTGTATTTATTGTAAATACTATGCATTTTAAAAATAAGTCTATTTTCATATTTAAAGAGTTTAGATCCAAAAACCTCTAAATGCCATTTAATATTTTCTTCTAAAATGAGCATTTTTCTCCAACTCCTGTGTGTGGACTCAGTGATTTTACTTTTATAGTGCCAAACATGTTCTTTTCATTGCCTTTAAAGTGAAATAACTGAACATAAATATATGAGGCTGAGAAAATGCTCACTTTACAAGGCATTTAGAAGTTTGGGCATCTGAACTCTTGATTTCTTTTTTCTAAGAATTTAAAGTTTTAATTTCTAATTCATCATATTTTTTATTATTTATAAAACTGTAATAAAAATAAAACAATTTGACAAAATAGTAGGAAATATTTTTGGTACATCAAAAAGTGTTGTTATAATAACTATCCAAAAAGAGAACCCAGCAAAAATTAGCTCTTAATATTTCAATAAAATGTAATATTTATACCTCAATTAAACAGAATGAATAAATAATCAGGTGAATAATTGCAAAAAAGGTTCAGTTTTTCAGAAAACAAACCCCTCCTTTCAAAAAGCTGGCTACAGGCCTGAAAGTGTAATGTTAAAATAATGTTTATTAACTGATAAAGAGAGAGAATAAAGACTTTTGTTTATTTTTTGTACAAATGAAACATGTCTCATAGTGTTATTAAAAGATGGAGCACAGGCTGTAGTTTTTCTGACAAATTGTTTCAACCGAAATTGGAGATGTTACTCTGAGAGATTAGGAGAACTGGTGGGGTCATATACGTTTACATGTACGTGCTTATTCTGCTAGTTTTCAGTTCATATTGTTCACAGACTATGGGCCCTATCATACACCCGGCGTAATGGGGCGCAAGACGCAGCGCAATAGTCTTTTGGTAGTTTCAGCTTGGCGCAAGAGTGGTTTTGAGGCGTTGCGCTACGCTGTTTAAATAGCAAATGCATTAGTGTTCATTTGTGCACCCATAGGCATTCTGGTCAAAAAAGGAAGCCGTTCTGAGGTGGAGCGCTGGCGCGTTGCACTGCTTAATACGCACAAGAGAGCAATAGGCAAATACCTTTACATATGAAAAAATGTAATATTATGGATATATATATAGGATATAATAAGAATAGATATAGAATATAAATATAAAGGATTAAAATATAACAAAACATATTATTTTCTAGCCAACATAAATATGAAAATCACTGCTTTTATGTCTTCTTCATCTCGGGAGGCTTTTTCTGTTCATTCATAACAATTTGCTTTTGTATAATGTTATTATTATTAGCAGTATTATTTATTATATCCATATTTATATTTGTTTTATTAAAAACAAGCTTAGATTTGTCCACCTGTCAGGTTTTAGACCATATGGGGCACAGCATGTGTTTTAGGATAAAACTCAGGTTTTTGAGCACATTTTGTGATTATTATTCATTTATTCGTTTGCTGGAAATTAGAACTGAATTTAGAAATAGTTTTGAAACGAATATTTGCGCTTAACAAACGAAATTAATTATTTATAGACTAATTGATGTCTGTGCGTAAAAGTTTTCCTATCCAAGAGCGAAAGTGATCCATTATCTCTCATTCTCACGCAGTAGATGCTCCGTTTAACAGTTTTCTGTTGAAAACTGTTAACTGTTTGCTTGTGAAATGCTCATTTTTTCCACTTAGACTTACTTTGCGTCCTGTAAATAGCGAATGCGCTCTTGGCGCGCCACAGCTGACTCTTAAAGGAAATGGGAGATGAGACTCTAATTGGTTTATTCTTAAAACACACCTATAACTCATTAGGAAAATAAACTCAACCCTTTTAGACCATGCGCCTTGGCGCAAGGCAGATTTCCCGTCCTTAAATTAGCAAAAACACGTCCTGACACGCCCTGAAAGCGTTTGCGCCCTGCGTTTTGCGCTCTGCGCATGGACCATCAAAATAGAGCCCAATATGTTAATGTTATAATGTTAAGACGGAAAAGTGGTAAAAAAAAAAAAACACTAGCAATAGCAGCATTATGGGCTCATTCAGTAGCGAAATTGAGTTAAATGTCACTTACACTTTTCGTTGAAAAAAGCTCTTTATGTCCACCTTTTTTTGCTACCGCCATCCTCACTTGTGCGTGTCACACACCTCACACACATCGGGAAATTCCCCCTGCGCAGTAGTTTTGGCGCTGCTTGTATCTGAAAGAAGCCTCTCACATGATAGCAGAGAAAGGCACAGCCAATCACAATGTCCATATGTGTCTGGTTCGCGTGGCAACTTGAGGAGAGAACGTGATTGAACCCTTTCGGCATGTCTAGGTTTATATTGACAGCACAATGTTTTTAAGTGAATTAAATTATTGGTGGGGACATTTCAGTAGTTGGTGGTTATTGGTGGGGACACGTCCACCCTAAATCTTCGCCCCTGACTAACACAAACCCCAACCAAACAGTCTACTTATAGTCTAATGAGAATTAGTTAGCATGTAGATGTAAATAAAGTGTGACCAAATAAGTAAATCTGTGGACCCATTTAACAAAAAGATCTTTATTGTGAACCTTATTGTGTTTATTTCAGGAGTTACGATATCAGCAGAGCCGAGTATGTGACAGAGGAGACAAGTTTGTCCCAGTGGTCAGTGACTTCATCACTGTCGCCAGCTTCAGCTTTTCAGAACTCGAGGAACTTCTTAATGAGGCCAAGGATAAGGTAACATCCATTCATATGCATTCATAATAATTCTCTTAATTTCTAACCTTCATCCGTACATATCAATCCTAACAAACATTTATTTCGAAAAAAATGTTCATTCCAAAAAAAAAGTTGATTAAAATAATTAGAGCTGGGCAATTCAATTGAATTGAATTTGCAAATCCCTTAGAGCAGGGATGTCAACAGGCACACATAGGACTCAAACTATGCAGTGCATATGCCCTTTTTAGTCTTGGATAGAAAGTGACCTTCCAAAATGATTTGAAGAGCCCAAGCGACCTTCCCCCCGTACTAAATTCATCTTTATTTCTAAAGAAAAATGTTGTTGGCTTAGTTTTTTGCTTGGGTCAAATGAACCTTTCTACTCATTTTAACGTACATCAATCAAACTGACTAAACATACAGTATTAAGTTAAACTTTGTATATTGTAAAAAGTCCTGTTGAAACCTGATTAACTTCTTGAAATAAGTTAAAGTAACATACAAATATTTGTCATGACTTTTTGTCATATTTTTACAGTGTAAGAAAAATCTACTAAGATTTTCTGTTTCAAAATAAATGTAATAAACACAAAATGCATGAAACTTACCATCAGTCAGTTTTTTTTCGCTTGCAGAATAAATGAATGACAAAAGTTTTTTAGAATTTTTAAAAGTTTTTTTTCTTTGTTTTGTTTTTTGTTTTGTTTTTTGTGAAAGCAACACATTTTGTGTCAATTTGGCTAATTGTCGGAACAATTTTACAACATGGCATCAATACTGCACAATGCTTGCTAGGGGTTGAAAAAACTGTAATCTCCAGCACAAGGCCAGATACTATCACACAAAGAAGTCTTTTTAAATTTAAAGAACATTTAACTCCCTTATTGAGAATTCTAATCTTGACAACAGATTCTATCAATGCCCTTAAATTGTGCATCTCTCATGTCTTCAAGGTTTTAAGGCGTTCTCTGAAAGTACCTTATTCTCACCGTACGTTCACACCGAAAGCGGCGAGAGCGTCCAAGGTCGCTCTGGCCGCCCTGGCGACAACGCTGTCTGCCTTTAGCTCCGGCGGCGAGAGCGTCAAAACTCGCTACATTGATCTCATATTTAAAGGAGCCGTTGCAGCATATCAGTTACATTCCTGCATAAAACATGTTTCTAGCGTGAAAATGTTGCGCACTTCTTATCAAATTCATACAACAATGGAAGATCAAGTTGCATGTGGCTTTGCTCTATTTATCCAATATGTGTCCATATGTCTGAAATATCCTGAAGCAGCAGTACTGTTTTGTACTGTCACATCGCGTGAGATTCCCCCTTTTTTAAGATAAATTTATATAACATTAATGAACATCAGTAAACTCGCCAGTAACTTATTTAATGCATGTTCCTGTAGGAAAAAATTGTAAATAATTGGAAATCCGGTGACCGCAATAATCAAACCCTTGGGAACAACTGTGGTCGGAACCAAAGTTCACAGGTCTGTGTTCCCTGAACTGCTATCAAGCGTTGGACGTCTTCATTCTGGTTGCTTGCCGCCGAACCGCGTCATAGCTCATTACCATAAAGTTGACTTCATTTCAACTCTCCTCGACGCTCACGCCGGCGAAGCCGGCGAAGACGCGCCGCCGCTCCTCGCCGCTTATCGCCGCGTATCGCCGCCGGCTCTCATTGAAAATTAATGACTTCCGGCTACTTTGACGCTCTCGCCGCTTTCGGTGTGAACGTACGGAAGTGCACTGTGTAATATCATTCCACATGGTACAGGCCTGGTACATCAGCAGTTTCTGGACTATATTGCCAGAATATGAAGTTGAAGCTGACCCTGATAAGAGGGCATATATCCAACAAACAAGGCATGACCTCAGTCATAATCATACACACGAGAGGAATAAAATAACTGCGTTCAATTCGGTAGCAAATGTGATCAGGATTAACTATCCATTAAAGATGTAGGATAGTTAAGCATATTAATGTTGATAAGAGAAACAAAATGCAATATGAATGCGTCAATGGCCCTTTAAAAGAGCTACTGTTTAGGGTCTGTTATGTAATCTACACTTTAGGTACAAGAGGAGACCTTTAAAAGGATACTTCCCCATAACCCTAGTAGCAAAGAATTCTGGCCCAGATTTGGCATAAAGCTGGCACAGCAGGCATTCATCCGGCACTGGCATACAGCATGTGGGCCAAACATGGCCCGGGTTTGGCAGAGGTGGCACCGTCTTTAAGGCGGCACACAAGATTTGGGCCAGACGAAAAACGTAGTATTTGGCCCAGATTTAAAAGTTTGAAAGTGGGCCATGTGAGTTTGGCCAGTCTTGACCCACATTTAAAATACACTAAAATCATTTTTGAGTAAAGAAAAAAAATTCTACCAATCAGGTCACTTTGAGAAAAAGCGTGCCCATAGTGTGCCTAAAGCGCATCACTCTATGGGTTTATCAATTTCATTGCAATCGTGACACACCAACCTACCTGGCCCAGTTATGAATTATTAACTTGGCTGAGACTTGGCCCAGATATGGTCTGTGTTTGGCCCTTGTCTGGAAGCCAGATTTGGTCCAGTCATGTACCGTAATTCACTGCGGCATGTGGGCCAAGCAAAACCTGAATGTGTGGGCCACAGTTGGGCCAGAGAAATTTTGCTATGTGGGAATATATTTGTTCTTTTGATTTCTGAGAGTGTATATTGCTCAACCTTAGCCTTAAGCTACCAACTCAGACGTTACACATTCATTCGTGTTTCGTTGTTGTTTCAGACCCATAGTCCACCATCCTGATTACTCTCCTCTTTCCTTTTCACTCCAGTTTTCCATGGCTCTGAAGCACTTTGGAGAGGAGGAAGGTCGAATGCAACCGGATGAGTTTTTTGGAATCTTTGACATCTTCCTGCAGTCATTTAGCGAGGCCCGACATGACCTTAAGAACATGCAGAGATGCAAAGAGGAAGAAGAGAGGAAAATACGATTGGAGGCAATGGTAAATTGCATATTTGCTGTAGCCAGAAAATACAAACATGCAGACAGGTTCACAGTCTCCAGAAGGTCCTGTAAAGTGTGTGGTCTCTAATCTTAACCACTTAAACTGCAGACCTGGTAGCGGGTCTGTGACGTCATCGACTTTCGCTTTAAGATTTAAAGGGCTAGCATTGCACCAGACCCCCGTAAGTGGTTTCGTTTGAAAGTGTAGAATCTATATTTTAAGCACATATGCATCACTTTGGTTTTTATTCTACTGTACAAAAGTTATTTACACTTAAATACACAGTATTTTGGATATCCGAGCTTGGTATTTTACATTGGTTCATTTTCATATGGTTCATATATGACACATGTACAAGTTGTTGCTCAAATGAAAGCTTTCGCCGGTGCTCATACAGTTCTAGCGTTCTTTTTACTGAATTATATTCACATATCAAACAGTTGTCAAATGAACCGCAGTGTTTCCATGGCGCAGAAGTGAAAACAATACATTTATGATCAATAAGCAGCCCCAGATAGCACAGATAGCTGTCATCTCTTCCCTTATGCTGTGCGCTTCAGCGCCATTTCTCCTCTGGTTTTGAGGTGATGTGCATAAGTAATCCTTTTATATGTCTGACGTGGTCTAAACACAGTGAATTATGTTTGATCAAACAAAAGAATAGTGAAATATGAAAACAATGATCGCTCCCTGTGGCTTGTACAGCACCTCTCATCAGTTGGAATACAATAACTATTGCATAGATTATGGTAGATGTTTTCCTATGATTACAGACATGTGCAGGAACCACCAAAATTAATTACAGCACACTAGACCGCAGAGTACCTAAAAGGTACACTTTCAAATTTGAGTTTATAAAAAAAAAATACAAAAAGCGCCTCTTTTTTTAGGTGTTTATTATAACACAGACAACATATAAAGATATTTTAAACACTTTCAATTGTGTTTTATGAAAATTCAAAGGGTTTTCTTTAAAATGATACCAAATTTTTGCATTTACACCTCTGCATGTGGATTTGGGAAGCTTTTAAATTTGGGTAGGCAAAATCCAGGCGGAAATCCCAAAATAGCAGCAGAGTTTAACTGGTTAACAGCTAGATTTAATAATTTCTAGCATGCTTTTTTATTATTGTTTCATGCTCTTTGAAGTTTACTTATTGCATATTGCTGGTAAATGTTTTTTTGCAGAGAAACAGGCTGTCTTATCTTTAAAGCTGCAGTAGGTGATTGTCTTCAGTTTTTGTTGTGCTGGTTGAAAGTCTCTTCACGTTCCAATAGTAATAATTAAAGTAAATAATCTAAAGCAGGGGTGCTCCATCCTGTTCCTGGAGATCTACCTTCCTGTGCAGTTTAGCTCCTACCCTGATCAAACCCACCTGAACCAATTAATTAGGACCTGAAATCCACTTGATAATTACAGACAGGTGTGTTTGATAAGGGTTGCAACTGAAATCTGCAGGAAGGTAGATCTCCAGGAACACCCTTGATCTAAATGTATTTATATGTATTTTTATAATCTTGATAAGGCATAAAACAAAAAAAATGTTCATCCAATTAAATATTGTCGGACCAACAAATAACTCAATTACGACAGGCATCTCAAACTGTCTGTGAACAAATTTAAAGTGAATTTCTGCACAGCGTCTTTAAGCAGACAGATACATCACTCTCGTGCACACATGAACCACGCATCCACCGCTGACAGAGAGACGTCACCAGGCAAACTTTGCATCAACCTGAACTTCTTTCTAAAAGACCAATGTGGCCTTGTATGCATGAAAAGAAAAATTGTTTCTGAAAAGGCTTCTGCCAAAAACGCAGCATCAAAACTTTTCTGAACCCTGAATCAATATCCGAATTACTTTTTCACGTTGAATGATGTTATGCAGTTCAAAACAACGATCTGAAGGAAGACACCACGGCTGAAGTATTTCTTTTAGACAGGTCTGTTAAACTATTTTAGCCACGCATGACTTATGTCTGTAAATTTGTCCATCGCAGCTCAAGGACCAGCGTGAACGAGAGAGACGAGCAAAGAAAGGCACCAAAGGCAGTGTGTCAGAGGAGGTGGGAGAGTTTGATGATCTCGTGTCAGCTCTTCGCTCAGGTGAAGTCTTCGACAAGGACTCTAAACTTAAACGCAACCGCAAGCGCTCTGTAAACCAGTTGGCTGATGCCGGAGGTCGAGAAAGATCAGTCACCAAGATGAACTATTGACCACATTGAACACAGTCAAGGAGGCCAGGCTTTTATATTCGCACACTGATGAGGAACTCTCATTAATAGGATAATACTCACTATTTACTCACCATTGGTTCCTTTACGACTTTCTTTTTTTTTTTTTTTTTTTCAAAAGAGGATATTTCAAAGCAACCATAACAATTGATCCTTCACTAAACCCCGCCCTCCTTAGTTACTGTTGCTACACCTGTCAAGCTTTCGTGCCTGGCACGTCTATTATAATGTGTATGCGCCAATGTCAGACATCGCCTGGTATATAACTAATGTTAGGTGAGGTATCAGGTGAGGTATCTGAGAAAGCCAGACAAAAAAGGACTGCAGTATGCATTGCAGGGGTATATTCACCACATAATAGGCATCCGATTGAAAATAATTTAAGAAAAATAGAAGCTAGGTTAGCCTAGCCTCATACGTTGACCATTCAAAAGCTAGTTCATGCACACCAGGAGAGGTGACATTTAAAAACAATCTATTACTGTAAATAAAAATAATAATACTGTAAAATAATTACAAATTTTAACTGTGATTTCTCTATTTTTAGCCAAAAAGCCTGATGTTATGCAGGGAAATATAGCGTTACTAACCAACAAGGAAGCACGCATGGACAGTGCTTCTACATAATTCATTCATAGAAAGAGCAGCCAGAAAGGTGAAACTGATGGATTTGTGCAGAAAATGAGCATTGTTGACCCATAACAATGAATAACTGTCCGTATGTTTGTGTGCTTTTTATCCAGTTTCTATTTTAATTTGCAGTTAAGTGGAAGAAATAAATAAACAAATGGAAATGCAAATGGCAGAAACAAATAGATTTTCCCTACCAATAAATTTTCATCCGACACTAATTATAAAACCAGACGCTATTGACCTTATTCTAAAATGCGGAAGTGCGCCTGTTTTCGCGATTGTCTTAGAACTTCCGATTCAGTCGCCTATGGGAGAAATGACTAGGAATAATAAATGGCAGAAAATGGCCAAACTACTTGCTTAACAAACAAATGTTTGCATGACTACACAGACCAAGTAGAATAATATAATAAGAAAATATTAAATTGCAACATCAAGCAGCGTAACGAGCAGTTGTTAACGTCAAAAAATGAATGGAAGTGAATGTGACCGGAAGTCGCGAGACAAAAAGATTCAAATGGCAGCGCCCGCTCGCCAGCTGAGAATAAGGTGAATAACGTCGCCGCCAATGAATAAAACTTTAAGACAGTGCTGAAAACATCAGTGAATTGTAGCTCTGACATGGACATGAGGGTTATAAATGACTGAAAAACAGCTGCGGGTGAAGTATATTGATTGGAAGTGCTCAGTTTGTGATCACATCTCAGTTTTGTTCTGTTGATATGTAATCTAAATATTCGTAGCTTGAAACAGATGGGAATATGACTGCTGTTTGTATGACTACTATGGTGAGGGCTTAAACAGAGAATTGCTCATAATATCGAGCAAAATAAGAAAAAGAAGACAGCTGGGAATCATAACCTGCTTTGTATTTTTGTAGGAAACACAGTTTAGATCTGTTTAGGGTAAGAGGTGTGTGAGTTATTTCTGTCTATCACTGAATGTGTCAGGAACATCGAAAACAAAACCAAGTTAACTCTGCCCCTTTAGCGCCCCTCACAGAGCTTGCATTGCATGCTGGCATTTCTCCCTTTGGTTTTTAGGTTTTGAATAGGAAATAAATTCCACCACCCTGTCCAAACTTTTAGGAGACCGGGTATCATTCATATTCTTTTCGGCTTACTCCCTTTATTAATCAGGGGTCGCCACAGCGGAATGAACCGCCTACTGGGAATCAGATTTGCACAATCCATATGCACAACGCTCTGGCCTGTTTCCCTCACTCGAAAGCTTGACAGATCTGCACGTAGCTACGATTGGTGTGTGGCGGTTTTCCAGTGTGGCTTAGCGAAGGGTCAACTGACACCCATATCAGAAAAAAAAACACTATTATGTAGTCAAGGGCTAATGTTTTACAAAAAATTTTAAATATCTTCTTTTGTGTTTAACAGAAGAAAGAAACAAGCGGGTAAATGATTACAGAAATATAGTCTTTTGCATGTACTATCCCTTTAAATGCCACTCACTGCCCTGTTTTTCCTTTTGCACAGACCACTAATACCTAACAAGGCTCATCCACTTCCTTATTGATAAGTGCACTCATAAATCCAAGAGTAAAACTTTACCCATGGTAACATTTACTCTTGGTTTTTGGCACCAGTATTCCAACCTAGGAGATTAGTTCAAGAATAAAATCTAAGACCTGGTGTGATGTTTCACAATGCATCTTCTCTAGAGGAATACATTTGCTTCATGCTTTGCGCCCGTCGAGTTCACTCATCCCTGCTATCTATTCCCTTGCTCTAACTTTACAAGGTTAAGAGATGATCCCAATTTGGAAATTGGGAAAATGTAATATAAAATAATACATTGTTGTGATTAGGTTGGAAATATGGCACCTCACGGGTTGGGATACTTCTTTATCAAGTGCCTATACCAGGGGTGGGCAAAGCCTGGAGGGCCGGTGTCCTGCACAGTTTAGCTCCAACTCTAATCAAACACACCTGCTTATAGATTTCTAGTGATCTTGAAGACACTGATTGGCATGTTCAGGTGTTTTTGATTAGAGTTGGAGCTAAACTATGCAGGACATCAGCCCTCCAGGACTGAGTTTGCCCACCCCTGGCCTATACTCTAATGGCATTTCAAGGACTACACTGCAAAAAATGCTTTTCTTGCTTAGATTTTTTGTCTTTTTTCTCGTTTAAATATCTAAAATTTCTTATATCAAGAAGCATTTTTTAGACAAGCAAAACATATTGCCTTGTTTTGAGAAATAATATGCCAATATTAAGTCATTT